AAGGGCTCGGAAACCGCCGCGCATGTGGACGAAAAACAGGTCGTCATGCTCCTCTCCAAGGCTTAACCCACACGAAGCAGGACCCTTTGGATCTGCAGATTATATTCTTATATTTATTTATCGGATTGTTTTTGATTGTTGATTATATTTCTCCTCCTCTGGGCTGTGTGTATCTACTGGCGCTCATATGATTGTGAAGTTCTTGGGCTACAATATATTTGTGAACATAGATGGTTGTGCAGTGCTTCAATAGAAAACATCTGCTCTCATCCTTTAAAAAAGAGATCCTACTAATGACACATCAGCAAGTCTTAGTGATAGGTTCAAGATTAAGAGTCACCAATGATAGGTTCAAGATTAAGAGCCACCAAAAGAGCCTTTGCAGCTTGAGAGCCCTGAGAGCAACACCGACGATGTTGCAACCTGTGGGTTAGGTTTCCGAGTAGCTCTCCAAGACATAGACGGGTAGAGATACCGGGGACGAGCCGGGGGGATATATAGAAACTTGTAGTTTCTGTTAATCGTCGAATCTTGCAAAATATAACTGGATTTTTACCCATTTCTGTCTCTTTAGGTTATGAGCACCTTCTAAAATATCTCGCTACTTGCAACAACCCAGTGTAGGGTCCTCCTATCTATAGTCGTCTTGTCCGGTGCAGGACCCAAAGTTTTTTCTTCTTCTGATACTTGTACCTCCGGTGTAGGGAGTCAAGTTTTTCTACGTTTGGTCCGATTAAGCTACACGAGTCTAGCTAACTCTGTGGATATTCGAAGTCAGGACACTGACCGGAGGCTGAAACGACTCGTGGGGGTTAACCAAAGACCATCGACTAATTTTTTTTTCTATATCTTATTTTCTATCTCAATTTTTTTTTACTCCGAACTTCAATTTCCATCATTCCACCCTTTTTCTTCACACATTCTCCCTATACCACTTCTTCCGACTCCTCCCACTCCAACACCTCTTCTTCCCCTCCGAACCCAAATATGGCTTCCTCAACTTGAGCGAACACACCCACCGCCAACAACGCTGCCAACCGTCAAGTCACTGTCCCCAGAGATGTTCCTCCCCATGAGCAACACCGTTCCTTTTCCATCGATGAAGATGTCCTCAGTCGGCTGATCCAAGCTGTTGCTATGGCTTCTAAACCATCAATGCAGACCAACTCCAATCAGATCATCAACTCGACTGTCACTCGAATCAAGGACGATGACAAACTTCTAGCGGACGGATCAAACTTTGGGATCTGGCGTGAATTTCTTTCCAAACGAGCCCGGGAAGCACTTGGTGACTGGAAATGGTACACCAAAGTTTCTACCTCAACCAAAAAAGAAAAAATTGGTAGGGTGATCCTGTTTCCATCAGTCGATCGCAGTTTTCATTGGACGCTTATCAGAATGGTGAATCAAAATGTTACGACCTCTATCTCCACCGTCAAAGTCGTTTCTGGATACCTAGTCAGGCAAAACAACTTTCTCTCTGGCGTAAACTCATCTTGTTCAAAATGGCCGACTATCCTGATACCTTAACAGCCGTTGGAGCAGCAATTGACATCGTTGAAGAACTATAAGGCTGCAGCAGCTTCAAATTAAACAACAACGAAGTTGTTGCGGTGATGCTTCAAAATGGACTTGACCAAGGTTCTCCAGTTCTACAAGAAGTTGACCGTCGACTAGAAAACACGTACAGCGCACTAATTGGAAACCTAGGACTCGAAGAAGACCGTGCGGTGATCTCTACTGACCTGGTAGTAAAAACACTTGATGCAGTCAAACATCAAGTGAACTTCGCAACAAACACTTCTTCGTTGACTTCTTCCAGTTTCGATGTCGCAGGCATCAACCAACCTTCTGGAGACCTGACAGCTAATCAAGTGATAGCTGAACCATACAATGTCACCAGCATGGCAGCCAGACCCCGACTATGCTGGGAATGTCGCTCCCCAGACCACTTTGCGGACCAATGGCTTTCCTTACGCCTAAATAACCATTGCTTGTCAACCAAAGTTCCTCAACAAAACTTTTGGCCACCTCCAGTCCAAAAACACTGGTATCAAAGTTTTTTTTCCAATTGTGGTCCCGTATGG